TTTATCAGCGCGTGCAAAGTTCTTTATGGCTTGGGGATATTTCAACCCGTCTTATTTGAAGTTCGTATTGACATTCTTGTAGGATTCTTTCTTTAGACCTATTTTAAGGGATGTACTTTGAGAAATAGGACCAGCGTCCCTTGTTTCTTTCCTGACCCCCCTTCTTCACGATGCTTGTTATCATTAGATATCTCAAATGTTTTGTTCTTTTTTATCTCTTCAACCATTAACTTCTCTTTATAGTTGATGTATGGTTTCCCGAGCTAGTAACTCATTCATGCTTTGTGGTTCCTCCAGTTCGAACTTCTCCCTGAACATACAATATGGTCTTAAGCATTTTTCAAAGATCCAATATTTCAAACTATCGTTATCTCCTCTAACTTCTACGACTTCCTTGGTGAGTATGTTAATATCCTCTTATAACATCTCTTTTTTTTCTTTGCATAATGGCACTGAGCACGACCAATGTCTTCAATTGGTGTTTACTTGTTGGGAAGTGGAATTGGAATGTGAAGTCATTACATATGGTTCTCTAAAAACAGATGAAATTGTCTTCTAGGTCGTTGAACCAAGTCATTGATACTCCCTGGGTGAGGAGGACAAAAAGCTTGTACTTAACTACTCCTTTGTAGAGCCGGACCGTGGAGCTTTTCTGACTCCATGCTCTACATATATCCTGTTGGTAAACTCTATGTCTTCTCATAATATTAATCTCATAGAATCTCCATCTAACTAATACCATAAATATTCACTAGTAATTCAAAACATTAAGGATAACTTAGAAAACAAACATTTAGAGTTATCCACGCTCTTTGAAAAAACTAAAAATGATAATGACTTCATGGCCAAAGTTATAGTTTCTTCTAACATAGATATTATAATGCATACTTATCCTTCTCTTAGACTAATTCACATTCTTGCATCTGAAGCTAAAGATAATGTTTTTTAGACAGTAGCTGTTATTCTATCCCCAAACATTACAATTTGCACTATTATTCTTCGCCAATTTCTAAAAATGTCTCTTATTTTCGAAAATACATCTCTGAATGTATTATTTTTTTCATAAAATATTTAAATTTGGAAATGTATATCCAAATAAATTTTTTTTTTTATAAAAAAATGTATTTTCGGATATGCATCTAATAAACCTTATTTTTCACGAAAAAAATGGTGAGCTCAAATATCTATTTCCGAATTCATCTATGTTGTGTTTTTTAAAACTTAATATTGAATGTATCCGGACCGATACACCTAGTTGTTAGAATAATAACACAAGTGTGAGTAAGTATGGCAAATAGTTTCACATTAGATAGAAATGTGGTGATTTAAACATTTATAAATGAGTTAACTCACTTACCTAAAACCTTAGGTAGCCAAATGATGTCCCTCTCACAAAGATGCAAAATCTTACACTATGTATCAATGCTTCCTAGGGAGTCTTTAATTTCGAGAAAGGGACCGACTTACATGTATCGAAATGCCCACGGAAGTTCACACTTGCGGAGAGTGTGGAGAGTGTTGTAACGCCCGATATTTAATTAATTATTTAATAAATATTTTCGAATTTATTTATGAAATTGGTTGATGTTGTGAAATGTCGATTTAAGTTGTTATGTGGTTATTTGATAAATTGGTTGATTTAAGTTGTAGAAATAATATTATTAATAATATTAGAATTGTAGAATATTAATAATATTAAGATGATATAAGGTTAATTGTGTTGGACCTATTTTTATGGTTATAAGTAGTAATATGGGGGTATGTTGTTAAGCCTAATAGAATAATAATAATATTAGATTAAGTTAAATAAAAATTAAGTTAATTAAAAGATGAAGAAGAGTCTTAGAGCAGTACGTGAGAAGTTACAGAGAAGAGGAATAGGAAAAGAGGCAAAGCTAGGTCAATCGTAGAGTTATAGATCAACATTCAATGCAAGGTAAGTGTGAGGTTCTAACTCTATAAAGGATTGTATGATGATGGGTTATGATAGAGTTTGGTTATGTAATTCTATAATCTCTTTGTGTGAATTTGATGTGTATGGGGTTTGTATGTGTGATGATTGATGATGATGAATTGATGTAGATTGTTGATTTAATCTGTTGAAATTGCCTATAATTGATGAATTGATGTTTTGAATTGTGTGGTAATTGATGTATATTGATAGTAATGATAATTGGATGTTTGATTGCGTATTATTTCATGAATTTTGTATTTTTGGAATTGAGAAAAAAGAGTTTTCGTACTGCACTTTACAGAATTCGTAAGACTGTTTGACAACATTTTTGAAAATTTGAAAACTCCATAACTTTTGACTCGGGTGTCCGTTTGACACGCCGCTTGAACTTACAGAAAGATAAAAATATTTTCTACAATGTGGTAATAATTTTGATGGCAGTAGACTAATATTTTATTGGAAGAATTCTGATGTGTGCGTATGTTGTATGTGTTGTAATGCAAAATGTTGCGATTGAATGTGTCAGTGTTGTATAAACGATGTACAAAGGGTTTTGCATGATGTATTAATAATAATTATGGTGTAGTATTATAGTATAATAATTTTTAATTTTTTTGTAATTAGAAATAAGCATTTAAATAATTAATTAACCAGAAATAGTCGAAATATTCTGGATAATTACGCGGTTTTATTTGTAGTAAATTTTGGTTGATTCGTTGTATTGTGTTCTTCATTAAAGAATGTGAACTTGCAGGTGATGTTATTATCTCAATTTATTGGCTAAAACTAAGTTGTAGGCTTATGACCAATGTTGATTTAAGTTGAATTATTAAGTTGTGGTTGAATTGTTGTTGTTGTGTTGTTGTCGCATGCATAGCATAACAAGTTGGTCTGGATTGACAAAATATTAAGTTGAAGACTTATGCCTTGTTGATGCCTCTATTAATTGGCAGATTTCTAAGTTGGGAATTTTGCTTTATTGGTACCACATGCATGTGCATAAAAACAAGTCGCATTTCATGTTCCATCCTGAGTTGTCATGTGGAAGAATTAATTATGTTAAGTGTTGATAAAAAGCTGTGAAGTGGTGAATTGTATGATCTAATCCTAATATATTATTTATCGTACATCTGATTATATTGTTTGATATTCCACCCCTTCTGTTTGGATGTTGACCTCTGTTGGTAACGTGCAAGTAATCAAGAAGAATAGTTGTTACCTTCGTTAGTTCGAGTCAGTGTTGTCGCTCTGATACGTAGCACTCAGGGGGATGAACGCTTGATGTTTAGTTGTTGATATTTATTTCAGTTGCTGAATTTTTAAGTTGATTACATGAAATAATTGTTGGCTTGAAGTTGTTTTAGTTGAATAAAAGATGTTAAGTGAATTGAAGTTGAGTATGTATATCCCGCTGCTTATCAATATAAAGTTGTTTGATTTTTAAAGAATAAATCAGGTTGTTATCGGTTCATCCGAGTTAAGTGTTATGTACCTGTTTTGTATGCGATTAAATGAAGTTTGATTTCAAGTTGTAAATGTAGTATCTTATGTATGTTGAACTCTGATTTTATTATTACCCGCCGGGTAGAATTGAGGTGTTACAAGTGTTAGAATAATAATGCAATAATGCAAGTGTGAGTATGGTGACTTGAACATTTATAAGTGGAAGAACTCACTCACCTATCAACTTAAGATTTTAGGTGGATAAATGATATGTCTCTCACAAAGGTTTATAGTCTTACACTATGTACAATCCTCTCTAGTGAACTCCCTCAACACTAGTAACCATGAATGAAAAAACGATTAAAATAAAATTAAAAAAATATGAAAAATACTACTAAAAATCAACTTAAGTGTCTAAATTTTTTTCTCCGAAAATATGAAAGCAAGTAATAAATCAAATAAAATAAAAAAATAAAGAATTTAAGGTTTTTAGGGTGGTGTCTTATACTTTATCCTAAAATATGGGTTTTTGATCCCTGATTTTTTTTTGATGAATTAGCACCGTAAAATTTTGATTCAGAGTCAATTTTTTAGAAAATCGAGTTTTTTACGTTAAGTCGCGTAAATGTTAGAAACACGGGAACACATGAGTTAGAATGCGAAGATACAATTCTTATGACTCTAATATTGGTAATAATCGATAGATAGTCCCCGATAGCTACACGAAATTTTAATAAAACACGTAGTAAGCGAGTTTAAGAGTGTTTTCAGATATACATCTTTGAATTAATTTAAAGTGAATTCGAAAATACATATTCGAATCAATTTAATATTTATTTTATGAAAGGGTGTGTTTATATATATATATATATATATATATATATATATATATATATATATATATATATATATATATATATATATATATATATATATATATATATATATATATATATATATATATATATATATATATATATCCAAATTTATTTTTAGAATTTCAAAAGTGTGTTTCATAATAGAAAGGATGAGATGAAGAATTTGCTATAGAAAATTCATTCGGGACAGCATGTGGTCACGGTCTCATTGACATGTCCATGCCCAAACCGCACGCCAAACAAAACAAAATACCTACGTGTAACAACAACAAAAAAAGTTGAGGATAAAATGAAACTCCAAATTTCCCATGTCACACTTCACTAGTTTAATTCATGTCCCACCATTCTGAAATCCGAAGCGTTTAATTTTATTTAAAATAAAACCATACTTAATGTCCATTGATACCCACTGAATGGTTGATTAATGTCAGCCATTAACAAAATCATTAGCACCATTTAATTAAATAAAATTAACTTGAACCTTTCAAAGGTGATAAAAAACAAAAGAAAGCAAATAAATAAAATTATAATTTTTGAGGTGACTGAAAATGAAATCAAAGTAATGCAGAACCCTAATAATATACCTGTGTATGTATTTTTGTGAATTTTGATTTGACATGAGATAGGGTATAGTATAGTATATTGAATTCAATTGTATATTCATTGTATAGTATTCATATACATTTCGCAGAGTAAGAAATTAAGCGCGCGAAAGAGATTGCAGAATGAAGAAGACAACCAAACGTCCTTCCAAGAAATCTTTCCATGCTGAAAATGGAAACGGCATATCTCCCTCACCTTCTTCACACCCGTATGATATCATTCTTCCTTTTTTTTTCTTTTCTACCATGCACGTTCATGTTCAAATCTAAATTCACCGTTCATTCTAATTATGGAATTGTAATTTTTCTTTGATTTGTTATTGATTTGTTATTGTTGTTAATTTTGTTAGGGGTGATGGACCAGAAAGAACGGTGAAGAAGGTGAAATTGTCCAAGGCTCTTACAATTCCCGATGGGACATCGGTTTCTGATGCATGTAGACGAATGGCGGCTCGCCGTGTCGATGCTGTTTTGTTGACTGATTCCAGTGCTTTGCTTTCTGGGATTCTTACTGATAAGGTCTGTTTCTATGTCTGTGTTAATGTTTTATAAAATGACATGTTTTTATGTTGTTGATTTGTTTTTCATATGTTTTTGTGGTTAGGATGTTGCTACTAGAGTTGTTGCTGAGGGGTTGTTACCTGATGAGACTGCTGTGTCCAAAGTAATGACGCGGAATCCTGTTTTTGTTACGTCGGATACACTGGCTATTGACGCTCTTCAGAAGATGATCCAGGGTTAGTTTGTTAGCTCTTTAATATTGAAGTTTATATATTTCTGGGTATCGGCTAGTATACGTGTATATGGAAATATATTCTCTCGTGCTATTAAATGAGCTGTTTACATCTATATTGTTGTTACTATTCAACATGATTACATGAATCTTGCATGATAAAAGGGCCGCGATTTGTTGTGAGAATGATGCCAGACAATTGGTTTAGTAGTTACAGTGAATTTATTTTTGTACTTTTCTCTTGGTGGAAATTAGACATACGTGGTTTGGGCATGTAGAGGGAAAACCTGTGGTAAGGAGAGAGTAGATCAGATGAAGATGAGTCATACATCTAGAGGTAGAGGAAGACCTAGAAAAACAATAAGTCAAGTTATTAAGAAAGATCTCGAGATTAACAATTTGGATAGTAGCTTGGTCCCAAATAGAACATAATGGTGGAAGTTGATCCATGTAACTGACCCCACTTAGTGGAATAAGGCTTGATTGTTGTTGTTGTATCTTTTCTTCACACAGTTTAGATCCTGGAATGGAGATTATTTGCAATTGGGCTTTTTTGTTTCTTCTGGAGCCCCGTGCTAAGTGCGTCTATGTACATGTCCTTGCATTTCAATTTGTTCGTGTTTGGAACAAAATATTATGGAGGCTAAATATGGAAATTTAGCTTGAACTAGTAACTTGGGGCCTTAGAGTTGGCAGACAACTTTGTTGCCTTGAACTGAATTAACTGATAACCATGTAAACACTATTTACCTACATGAATTCAAAAAGTAACCAATTGTTCTATAATAGGATCCCCTCTTATCATTATTTCTGCTCGTGTTTTATTCTTTTTACCTTTTCTGCTTCTTTAACTAGTCAGCGATCCTTGAATTGAATAAATGATTTAATTAGATTTACCTTTACATGTTGCTTGATGGAGTCATTGTTTAGAACATAATTTAGTGAGAGATACAGTTTGATTTTTTTCTTAACTGATTTTAGGTAAATTCAGGCACCTCCCTGTTGTGGAAAACGGTGAAGTCATTGCCATATTGGATATCACAAAATGTCTTTATGATGCCATAGCTAGGGTGGAGAAGGCTTGTCAGCAAGGGAGTGCCGTTGCTGCTGCTGCAGTTGAGGGGCCGGACCATCAGCGAGGTAGTAATATAGATTGCTTAACAGTCACCTCTATGCATATCTTACCAATTTGGTACTGCTTGTGCACGAACTTATGAATTGCTTCTACTTGCGTGTGGTACGACTGTATATGTTTATAACAGTCATGACTCATGACTGAGTTTATTATTTGTATCTATAAGTTTTATGGTTTAATTATCTTTGGTCCATCATGCCAATGTTGAGAAGATATAAGAAAATAGAAACTGTATAATTCAAACGAGGTGGATGGAGCAAACAAATACTTCAGTCTTCGGGTGTAATTTGCGACTGAAAAAGTACCAATTAACTTAAGAAATTTTTTACTGTATTCTTGTAAGATTTGTAGCCTAAAGCTCATGGCTTCTTCTCATAGAAGTATTTGAAAGTATTGAAAATTGCCATATTTTCCCTTCATTTTGTAATGATGCTGAATATTTGTTCCAACTGCCACTACTTTTGTCAGCTCCAAATGCTTTCATTGATACATTGAGGGAGCGCATGTTCAAGCCTTCCTTGTCAACTATACTTGGTGAAAATACAAAGTAATTTTCACATCATATTTTCTTGTGTATTGATGAATTGCCTAAGGATGATTTTTATAACAGTTTTTAAAATTATGTAGCTTTATGTATTTCCAGGGTTGCTATTGCATCAGCATCAGATCATGTCCATGTAGCTGCAAAAAGGATGCAAGAGTTGCATGTCAGTTCATCTGTGATTGTAACAGAAGGCAAAGTTCAGGGGATATTGACGTAAAATTTCTTTTTGAGGCTTTATTCTCTCTTTTATGGAATAACATACATGACTGCATGTTTTTTAGATCAGAAATCTCCTTGACCGATATATATGAAACACACTTTTTGACAATATAAAATGCACTTTAGACAATATTTTATTTTGACTTATATATTGTCCTGTGGATCTGTTATGCAGTTCAAAAGACATTCTTTTGCGTGTCATGGCTCTACATCTTCCCCCAGAGTCGACCTTAGTGGAAAAGGTTGTTATTGTTTTATTTGCTGAAGCAACACTATTGTAAAGTTGTTTGTCTTCAGTCTTTTTTCTGGTGCTAATGTTTGCTTAACTATTTAGAATTGATTTGATTTTCTTCTTTATTAGATAATGACTCCAAACCCACAATGTGCAACACCAGAGACAACAATTATTGATGCTCTGCATATGATGCATGATGGAAAGTTCTTACATCTTCCTGTGGTAGACAAAGGTAAATTTTGCCTTCTCAATTGCTTCCATAGTTTCGTACATTAATGTGCTGAATATTATCTGTTTTGCAGATGGAAATGTTGTTGCCTGTGTGGATGTTTTGCAGATAACTCATGCTGCAATTTCTCTGGTAAATATATATTTGAGATATAGATATTAATGATCGTGTATGTTAAAAACTATTAACCTTTGGTACTATGTACTTTGCAGGTTGAAAGTAGCTCTTCTGGAAATGTTAATGATGTGGCAGGCACAATTATGCAAAAGTTTTGGGACTCGGCTTTTTCTCTTGAACCACCTGAAGACTACGACACTAACAGGTAATTTGGTAGTACTGATGTCGTTTATATATGTCTTTTTTTTTTTGGAAATGTTGTTTATATATGTTTTGTTTTGTTCTGTTCTGTAAATAGTTAAATATGTTTTATTGCAGTGAAGTCTCTGGACAACTGACTTTGGATGGGGCAGATACCACAAAGTCTACATACCAGTCTGCAGGTTTTGGACATTCATTTACTTTTAAATTCGAGGATCCCAATGGTCAAATGCATCGTTTCAACTGTGGTGAGTTACATCTTGTGACAAACTTTGCTATATCTAAAATATCAGTCGCCGCCAACATCTTGTGAATAAAACACATGCCTCGTAATCTTTCCCTTTTTCCTACATCTTTTATACGTATAAGAACTTACAAGTATATGCCTCTGCAATTTTCGTAGGTTCTGAAAATCAAGATGAGCTTGTATCAGCTGTTATGCAAAGAATTGGTCCTGTTAATGATGGAGAACGCCCTGCACTGATGGTGTGTTTTAATCTAGTTCAGTTTTATCTGCATTTTTGGTTGGCCTTGCTATACGTGTTTAATTTGACATGATACCTATTTTTCACCCTTTATAGTACGAAGACGATGAAGGAGATAAAATTATTATTTCAACTAATAACGATCTCGCTGCTGCTGTCAGCTATGCTAGATCTGCAGGACTAAAGGTACAGATGTCTGTTTTACTAGTCTTTTCGTGTGGTGATTTTTGCTTCTGTGAGTTTCCTATGATGTATCAAACTGATTGTAACAAACATCTTTGTATTTTAGGCTCTAAAGTTGAATTTGAAGTATGCTGATTCTACCAAAGAGATACAACCAAACTCTGGTACAGCCACTAAACAGAAAACCAGTGTAGTATCTGTCCGCTCTGGTATTTTTGCAGGCGCCGTTGTTCTAACAAGCATTAGTGTATTGCTCTACTTAAAGCGCACCAAATAGTGATACGTTTGCCAGTTCGGAATCAGAACATGCCAGTCATAACTGCATAAATTCTGAGCTCTATGGTAAATCGAATATTTGCTACACACTGAATAGGCGAATGATGTGAAGCTCCTCTAATCGCCATTTTTTTCAGCCTCTGATGTAAGTTCACCCAGTAACCACTTCCCGTGGCATGCAACAATCAAATGTCACGATATTCTTCTATATATTTATATCGAATTTCATATTCCTCAGCTCATATTGGGATATCTGCAATTTGTTATGATTGTATCAAACTTTTTTATAGCATTCAAATTCATTTAATTATTAAAGATGATTGCGCAAGCACATGATACACACCTTATATGGTTGGATGTCTTCCGAAATTCTCAAAACACCCCTTATCGGAATAATGCTTCCGGACGGCATTGTATAGGAATCACACTTTTGTTGGTTAACAATAATATAAAAATAATTATACATTTTGAATTACCAATGGTTGTTTTTCTGTTAAAATTCACTTTCAACAAATACTTGGAAACTTGATGTCATCTCAGTGATTTAATTATTTTTCTCAAATCTTATGAATGATTCAAATTAACTTTTGAAAATTAACTTTTGAGCGCACCTTGTTGTACATATAGACTCAATTTGCAAAAGATCAAATGACTGGGTTCAGAGACACCATCCAGACAATAACTTCTGGATACTTACTTAATATAACTTGCTTAATATAAAACATCAAATTTCCCTCTCCGATTCAGTAACATTTGAAAACTAGAGTAAACTCTTTCAAGTCCCACATAAGCAGTATCACTCATTACTCTAAATTCTTTCAATCTCAGTCCTTACTCATTCGATTTAACCTCTAAATTCTTTCAATCTTAGCCCTCACTCAGCCTTACCTCGTTAATCAAAGTCCAAACATTCATCGCATTCTTTTGTGGCATTTGACGAACAAGCAGTGACTTTGATCCCCTTACTTCCGCACATTACTTATGACTAGTCTCAACTTATATATTCCTTTTTTTTTTTAGCTTTGATTTAATGTACATTATTTTTCCCACATTACTTCTAGTTAGTATTATATAGAGTTTGGAGGATTATGAGTCCATCTTTAAAGACTAATTGGACAAGTGTCTCTTATGTGTCACAAACATGTTTATGAATAGTCGTGTTTTGTCTTTTTATGTAATAATATTACAATAATGTATCTATAAGTGATAAGTGAGTCAGACCTTTGAAAAAAGACATCCTAATAGTATTTAAGATGTCATGCATTTGTTTATTTCTTATCGCTTCTATCTTAAAGTGATACAAGAATCTCCTTTTATAGCTAAGGAGATTCACAAAAGACAAAAACAACATTATTTACAAGCATGACATCTTAAATACTACTCCATCTGTCCCACAATGAGTGATCTATTTAAAATAAAATAGTGTCCCAAAATAAATGACTCATTTTAATTTTCAATACATTTTTTTTCAATTCTACCATCTAATTAATTAAACTTTCATCATTTTTAATACATGATTAGGGGTACTATAGTAAAAATATTATTCTTTCTCTTACTTTTCTATATTTTTCTTAATATGTATCAAATGGTAGGTTGGGTCACTCATTATGGAACAAAGGAAGTATTAGAATATTTTTTTCAAAAGTCTGACACACTTATAACTTATAGATACATTATTGTAGTATTATTACATAAAAATATAAAACACCATTATTCATAAACATGCTTGTGACACATAAGAGACACTTGAAAAGCATTGCAGACTTCATCACCAATTTTCAGAAGTTATAAAACAAAAGTCAAAATTCACCAAGGCATGTAAGAAGCCTTACACGGAGATTAAATGTAAAGATAAAAGGTGTAACTGTACAGCAAAAAAGAAACATCATTATCAAAAATACACCAAATCTCATATGACCTTCAAGAGAAATAAAAAGAAAGCTATCAAGTTCTTTAAAAGAAAACCTTTCAGAGGAAAAAGAAAAAGAAAAAGAAATCAGAGATGCTTTATTTGTGGGAAAAGGGGCATTTTTTTTAATGAATGTCCTAATAGTACCAATAAAGCCGCAAAGTCGATCAAGTCTCTTCAACATCTAGAAGGAGACCTAAAATCTTTGTATTATGAACAAAGCTTTGCTGATGAAGAAACAATTTTTGCCCTTCAAAACTCTTCGTGTGACGAAACATCATTTTCTGAATCAGGAGATGACAAATATTTCTCTGTTTACTCCTTCAAAGAGATAAGAAGTTCTCTTCCTACTCCACCTCTCCCTTGTGTTGAAGTTCTCGTCCGAAGAAAGTTATAACTTATATGGATACAGAGGCCCAAATTATAATGATGAATCCTAGCATTCTCCCAGCACAATCATGGATGACACATGCTGCATACTTTGTAGCAACAAATGGACAAAATTTCAAGATAGATTTAGTGACCAAAGAGAAGGTAGGAATCCAATTTTTCCAAAACTGCATAGTCTAAACAAGGGTCATTTCCAGTAATATTTCAAATAAAGATATTGTAGTAGGAATGAATGTCTACTCAGTAGCAAATAGACTTTAAATTTTCCCCACAGGAATCAAATTCAAAAGAGAATTCAAACCTTAATTTGAAATATTGAAATTATATTCACTTTTGAAAATCCCTGTTAGGTATGAAGAATTCAAGTCCAACCTACTCAAACTATGTGCAGAGCCATGAAAAGTTTCGCCATTCAATACCTCTATGGAAAAACGAAGACTTTTTTTTGTCTAACTTCCTTTTAAGCTCAATGAATATGGTAATCCAACCAAGGCCACTCATCCATGAATGAGTCCATCAGATTAAACATTTGTTGTGGAATAATGAAACCAGCCGCTCAAATAAGGTCTAGTAGAACCTACTAAATCAGAATGTGTTTGTCAAGCATTTTATATGGAAAAGAGATATGATAATATGAGAGGAAAAAATAGACTAGTAATTGACTAAAAATCTCTAAATCATTTTCTCAAAGATGATAAATTTCCTATTCCAAAGGCTTCGTCCTTAAATGTTTTCATCAAAGATTCTCAGATCTATTTCAAGTTCGATCTTAAGTCAGGGTTTTGGAAATTGGGTATCGACCCTGAGGAGCGTTACAAGACAACGTTCTGCATTCTTAACACCCAATACCAATGGTTTGTGTTACCATTTGAGCTTAAGGTAGCTCCATCACTTTTTCAAAAGGCCATGCCTAGAATTTTTGAGCTCATTCTTAATAATATCCTCATTTATATTGATGATGTGCTATTGTTCTCAAAAGAAGAAAAATCTTATAAACATTTATTGGGTCAATTCCTTCAAATAACCCAACAACATGGAATAATGTTCTATGAAAATAAAATTCAATTAGGCCAAACAGAAATTAATTCTCTAATAATGCACTTCTTCCAAGGAAAATACCAACCTCAACCCCATATTGCTCAAGAATTGTTAAACTTTCCTGATGTAAATCTCACACTTACACAAATTCAGCAATTTCTTGGTATAATTAATTATATCAGAGATTTCCTGCCAAAACTGGCGAAATACACAAGTCCTCTATCCCAAATGCTCAAGAAAACCCCCCACCATGGGGAACAAAGCAAACTGAAGCAGTAAGAGCTTTGAAGAAGATCACGCAAACTCCACATGCCTTAAAAATCCTCGGGAATGGTAAAAGAATCTTACAAACTAATGCCAATGATCATTATTAGGGAGCCGTCTTAATAGAAGAAATTGATGGGATAAAGTATTATTGCGGTCATGCTAGCAGTCAATTCAAAGAAGGTGAAAAACATTATCATACCACTTATAAGGAAGCTCTTGCTGTTAAGATGGATATTCAAAAGTTTGACTTTCATCTGAAAGGCCATTAGTTTAAAGTCTATATGGATAATTCCTATTTTCCTAAGATCCTTGAATTTAAAAATAAAATGCCTCCGAATCCTCAAACTCTTAAGCTTAAAGATTGGTTTTCCAGATATGATTTTACACTAAAACATATAAAAGGATATGAAAATATGATCCCTTATTTGTTTTCTAGTCCTATGAAATCCACCCAGTTCATTACTACCAAGCATACTTTTCCTCTGATTCATATGGTCAAACACCTACCAGCCCATGCATCTACGACTAAGAATCTTCCTCCGGGGTAGATTTGTCCTCCTCGCCATCCAAACTCAAAGAATATGCTAGAAATAATCTTTTTTGTTTCATGACTAAGATTATAAGAAAGAAACTCCCAGATGATACCCCTTACTTCCCAGACACACTTTTTCTTCTACCATTCATAATAAACCCAAATTTTAAATTTTTTAAAAACAATTTATAGTATCTTTGGTGTGCAACCAATTTATATGTTATGCATGTTCTTGTCCAAATTGAAGCCACATATAACCACATAATGGATCCAAAGAACCACAAGTCTTTAATTCAGACGGCTCTAGAATGGTATTCTCCATTGGAATGGTGGAGAAAACAATTAAAACAAGTCGTAGACGAAGTCAAAGAAAGAAGATTAGCCTTAGAAGTTGATCGTACCAGTGATCAAAAGAGTGTGGCTGATCTAATGATCTGTTGGTGCAAGCCTTCCACGAAGGAGGGTTGTACCTGTAAGACACTCTGACGATGAAGTTAGAAAAAAGTGGAAGGTAAGAGTGAGTTAGAGTTATGAATGAATCTACCTGACCCTTATGTTCATGAGGGTATTTATAGACCCCAAACGCATGACCAATGGTCTTCATTATGATCCTGAGGATCCAGGCCCATAATGGATGACTGCCAGCGTTCCTACGTGGCAGTAGGGACGGGTATCACACGCTCATAACCCTGGATCAACCATTCTGCTTTCCCCAGGTAGTGGGCGACTCTTCCCATCGTGTAGGGCAATATGGATACGCCCCTAAGGAAGATGGGCAGTCGGATGGTGACGTATCCTCGAAAGAGGGGCACGTGGAAAATATGTCAGCTTGGGCCTCAAAGGATTGGGCCATAATTTGGGCCAT